GAGCAGTGGCGTGCGGTGGTGTTTTAAAATGAGGAGGCAGTTATATATAATATATATAATTCATGTCCTTGTTACACTTAATGTTTACACTAAATGCAAATAGCTATAGATTCTATTTACACCTAGCAGGATTTTCTGCTATTTATACTACTTATTGCAGATAGCGGCAATTATCTGCACCTCAGTGTTGTAGTATATTATAAAACAGTATGCAATAATAACAATAACAACGACGTGATATCTGATTTGAAAAAGTAGAAAAAAAAGTTTGGCAAAACGCGATTCGAACCCCGGCCGATCGCGTCAAAAACGACTTCAACACGTACGTTACCATCTGTTCCACTCGAGCTGTTATTAGACGATAGTCTTTTGTAATGCTTTGTAATCACACGTTGATGGGCGGAGTTAGTGTAAATGTGTGTGTGTGTCACTGTCTGAACTCTGTTGACAGGTGCAGTGTAGGAGTGTGTGACTGATATGTGGAAAAACTACAGCTGGAAACTGAGCAGATGAAATGCATCTTTCAATTCATACTGAAAGAGCAGTATGTCATCACTTACCTTTCATTTAAAATGCTGCGAATCCCCTCTGTGTTTGCTTAGACCATACAATGAAACTGTACTAGAGCCCGACCGATATGGGTTTTTTGGGGGCCGATGCTGATACCGATATTAGGGGGTAAAAAAAGACTGATACCGATATATCGGCAGATATTCTTTATGTGTAGGCTATACAGTATAGTCAAAAGTTTGGACACACTTCCCATTCGTGTGTCCAAACTTTTGACTGGTTCTGTATATAGAATACAGTATATAGCCTACATAAACAGAATATATGTACAAACACATTTTTTGCAATGATAACTCAAATGTAGTGATCAAACACTTATAATGATGTAAATAGAACGAGGCATCAGTTTACTGCATCCAGTGTAGACAACATACACTGGACGCACGCCGCGCGATGTGAAGTGACCGATGTGATAAGCATGAGTTCGTGGCCGGTATAAACACCAGTCCAGCCGCAATCAGCTCCGGTGGCCGTAACACAGGCTTTAATGCGCCGCAGACGCGTGCCGTGATGCGCAGATCAGCTCTAGTCTCTAACGTCACTGAATCTGCTGTTAAAAATGAGCCA